AATAAAAAAAAAATTATTAAATTAGAGACAATTTCGTGTGAAAAAATAATTACAAAAATAAATATAAATTGTAGATATTTTTATTTATTTTATAAATATTTTTTATTATAAATAATTGTTTTAGTTCTAAAAATAATTATTTAAAGAGTAAAATGATTAAAAGAATTCTGTAAATAAAAAGGATTTATCAATGTTAAAAATAATAACCATTATAATGAAAAGTAATCATAAAAATAAATTATTTGTATACTGTTATTGTAGGTAATTTTTTTAATTTTTAAGTAATTCTTTTTATTATAAATAGTTATTTTAGTTTAATAAAACAATTACCTAAAAGATAAAATGATAAGAATTTGTGTATATTAGAAGAAAAAATTCCTTTTACTAATGGTATAGATAAATATTTTTAATATAAAAACATCTGAAAAATAAATAAATTTTCATTTATTTAATTAAAAAATACAAAAGCAAATATCATGAGTTGGAATGCATGACAATTTTAAAGACAAATACTTGTATCAGGTGATTGTTACTAATTTACCATGCAGAGAAAGCTATATTTATACAGTTATAAGGTGCATTTAAGTTAAAAGTCAACTAATTTAAACTTTGAAATTTTAAGGACGTCTTATTTTAATTTGTTTACGTCAAAAAATTTACTTGTACTAAACTAACATATTGTAATGTTTTCTTTTCATTTTAGTTGTAATTTTGTTTCAACTTCAATATAATTTTTTAAAATATATCTGTTCATGTTACATACAATAAAATATATTACAATAGAAAAAAGAGTTTAACCCAACACAAATACTAGGTATAATTAAAAGGTCTCTTATAATTTTCAATTCAATAGACTCAATTGATCATTTTCTAAATATATCGATCAACCGTTTTTGTATTTGACTCTATCAACAAAAAATTATTCTTCATTTATTCATTTTCTTTCACTTTTCTCTTCTTATTTCAAAGGACCTTATTTTCTTTTCTCTTTTTTCTTTCTTTTCTTTTCTTTCCTTTCCATTTTCTACTTTCTTGTTTACACTTTCTGTCCAAACATAACATTAATCTTTTCTCAAAAGAAACTCATACACATCTTGCTCTAACCATCTATAAACCACTAGCACAAATATAATAAAGATTCCACTTATACTTTCTTAAAATATGTCTAAGTAATGGGTAATAACATTTCTATAGCATGGACAGCAAAAATATACTTACTGACAGGAAAAATATACTAGTTATCATAATGTGGCTATGAGGACAAATAAAGATTGAAGGAACTGTTACAAAGCGGCAGATGATTCTCTCTTTCACTGGTTTAAATTCATGTGAATCAACTGACCTGAATTTAATTAAATGACACTGCCATGTAGAGTAGCATGACATAGAGTCGGCAATGCTTTATGGTTAGGAAAAATGCAATTCTAAATGATGTGACAACAAGCTCAAACCAACATCTGGTGAATTCTGAGGAAACCCGAGCGGAAGAATTTGCGTTGTCAAAATCGAGTGAACTATAATTTAGAAAGGCTGAGATAGATAGACCGTTAATTCAACAATTTGTGACATCCCAACTTCTTTGCATGTATGGAGGCAAATCCGCGACCAATTCAAGCCCTTCCACTTGTGAAAGATCACAATTGGAAAATGATTGCACATTTTGCAGTGCTTGAGATATATTGGGTAAGACTATTTGCTTGCAATGAAGATGTAAACGAGGATGGTTCTCAGATATGCTCCCATTGTTCAAATTAAGGCCAAAGGGGAGTGTTTCTTCCTTGAGAAGCTCTTCACATGAGTCCTCCACATTTGACAAATCAAAACCTCCCCACTTCCTGTGAGCTTGCCATCCATACTTGTAGTCCCCAACTATTGGTGTACCTAACACCTCGGCACAGTGCACTCGAAGCTGTGGCACCAGTATACACTCTTAGAATAAAAATTATAGTGAGTCATATAAAATAATTTTAATATTTTATGTTCTGACTGACACAAATTTCAAATGATTCTTCCCTAGTTTTTGTTACCTGGTGTTTTCTACCAGTTAAAGGGGACAGCTCCAACCATGTGTAACCTGCACTAATTGAGATGGCATAAGTAGGGGGTGCCAGATAAGAAGAGCTGAGGCGAAGCACTTGACAGGAAAATTCATGCTAAAGAGGGTAGACAAAAATACACATCATATTTTTTCTACAAATGTAGGTTCAAATACTGGCAAACATATGTTGTTTAGATTAAAATCAGATCCTCTCTAGATGGTGCGTTTACTTATGCTTTTGGAAGACTGTAAATTCTATTTCCCAAACATGAAATAGAGTCAAAGTCATATTTGGTACGTGACCAATAGCTCTTTTTGTCAGGGACTCTCTGCCTTTCTAGTATCAAGTGGAAATGTTGAACAACATTATTTAGTAAAACAATTTGTAAGCTAAAATAGTTTGGAAGCATGCATTTTTTTACATCGCATAAACTTTATAAGCAGTATTGTTAATAATTGCTTCTAGAACACTAACGACATTTAATGACCCCAACTCATTAACAATTAGTGAGAACGATAGTGGCTGATACTAGGGTCCTAAAGAGTTTAAAATATCACAAAAACATGTAACACGGGAAAATAATGTAATTTGTTCTTATCACTCTCAAAGGAAATTTGTGAAATTTAATCGTAGAATTAAAAGTAAGCTTCATTACCAACCTTGTGATGATGATGCAATCACTCGGTACTCTGTAATTGCATGCTGTGATGACAATGATGCAGAATTGTCAACCACAGTTATTCGTTCAGATTTCCCATTGTCAACAACCACCTGAAAACAAATAAAGGGCTGCAAGTTTACAACATTATCAAGCAAGAATTGGGAGCTTTCTATAGCTACTCAAATCAATGTCCATTTATTTTAAAGCTATAAGTTAATTTAGGTTGTGGGCTATTGAATAGTAAGGCCTAAGGTTTCATGTCATCATGCATTGCCAGATAGTTGACAGCAATCCATGAATGTAGGGCTTCATTTTATGGATACTAACAAGTTTGTTTTGGGCTTGCTTTTAAAG